CACTCCCCCCCCGAGGAAAGAGATGATAGATGCTGGCGGAGGTGGTATCGGACATGTCGTGCGGAGTCTGGGTGGACGGTTGTTGGCGCCTCATATGGGTGCGAAACGGATTGCCCGAAGTTTTGGGAGCTTTGCAAGTGGAAGTGCTGATAAAAATTGCAGAAGTGGGGGTACCTATCGCAGTAAGACCAGGGGGGAAACTTGAAGCAAGATATAGCGTACAGGAATCATCCGAGCGCACAAAAATGGCACGGAGCAATTTGGCAGGAGGTGGTAGAGGATGTGGAAGCAAACAGGGCGGTGCTGTCTAGGAGAGAAGATGCTGAAAAAAATCCGGGTTTGCGCGTGTCTCCGGCCGGGGCGGTAGAAGAGAAGGACAAACTTCGGGCGGGTGATACACGATCTGACTAAAGCAGTGGCGGAAACAACGGGAGGGGAAGGGCAGCCGGTGAATGCGACTGCTTTCTTTGAAGAGATTCCGGCATGCGGGATGGCGACTGGCATGAAGGAGGCGTTAGAACGTTTCCTGGGGATGAGAGCTAGACATCCAAGAAGGACGATTTCTAACCCAAAAAATGGACGTAATGAGCGCGTTTCGCCAAATTCCAGTAGACCCAACAGGGGCGCCTGCTTTCGGGTATGTGGTACAGGAATTCCTGGGTAGCAGACCTTCGGTTGCAGTTCGGATGGCGTGGCAGTCCTGGGTTGTGGAGGCTGGTGGCGTCGGCGATAGAACAGATACACCGACAGACGACAAGAGACACAGTACGGTTAACGCCCTCTGGGGTACGGGCAGCGGCACACGTAAAGATAGCTCCGCCAACGGGGAAATAAATAGTGCCGATCCCACCGCAGTGCAAGGTGCAGCCGGCGGTGGGGGGGGGGAAGAATGATCCGGCGTTTGTGCGGTTCTTCGTGGACAATGCGGTTAGTGTGGAAGTGCAGTGGGAAGACAAGGGGGAGCGGTGTCTGGAGTTGACGGAGGCTTGCGTCCACACACCATGTATTGTTAGGGGAGAGGGATGAGCAGCAAGAACCAGTACTGCCCGCAAAGAAGATGACAGACTGGAAGAGGGAACATGTGGTGCTAGGTTGGTTGGTGGATACCGAAGCAGGGACGATTTCATTGCCGGAACAGAAAGTGCAGGGTTCAAGAGAGAGGTTAGCGGAGTGGCCCGCGCACAGGAAGCAGGCTATGGAGTGTGCGCGAGGTATTGAGGTTGGCAGGTAAGCTGCACCACGCGGCCTTCGGTATCCAGCCCGGCCGTTACTTCGTACACAGACTTCTTCAGCTTGCGGGGCTGCATCTAAATGGGGTGGAGCGGGCCGGAGAGGGGGACGCGTGGGGCAGACATAGGAAGAAAGCGCAAGCACGCAAGGTAGTGAAACTGACATGGGAGTTTATGGCAGAGGTGGGGCGGTGGCGGTGGTATCTCGGGGAAGGGGCGGGGGAGGTGGGCAGTAAGATAACGGCGGCGTCGTTCAGCTTTGCCAAGCAAGTTCCTTCGAGGAGCTGGTTTTCGGATTCGTCAACGAGAGCGTTGGGGGGGGGGTTGCATGGAAACGAGGGTGTACTGGAGGTACGAGTTGCCGAAGGAGGTACAAGGAAAGACGATCAGGGCGAGGCAGAAGGGAGAAGGGGACTTTATATGCATAAACGTGCTAGAACTGGTGGCGATGGCGATGACGGCGTATGTGATGGTGATTTCGAGGGGGGGTAGGCCCGAGCGGAAAGGAGAGGCGGTGATCATGAGGGCGGACAACGAGAGCGCCGTGTCGTGGGTGAAGAAGTGGGGGGGGGGGGGAGAGAAGAAGGCGAGGGTAGGGGCACTGGTGAGGATGATGGGAGCTTTGGAGAAGGTTGGGGGGGGGTGTTTCCAGGCGAGGCATGTACCTGACGTGGAGAATAGGCTAGCAGATGGCATAACGAGATGGAAAGATGAAGAGATCGCTGATAACTTGCAATCGGAATCGCCCGGAACACGTTGACAAGTGCAGGATCTGAAGGTCGAGGAGCAGCAGCTATGTGCAGAGATTTTGCGCGAAGCTACGCAGTAGGGAGAGTTGCAGCGTCGACTAGAAAAACGTACACGAGGGCTTGGAACATGTGGATAAAGTGGAGGGAACGAGTGCAGAAGAGCTCATGGATTGCGAAGGGGTCGGAGGAAGGGGAGATAGTGGAGGAGCTGGCGGAGTACATGGCTTACTGTAGTGCGTTCCTAGGAAACAGAGATTCGACGATAATGGGGAAGCTCGTGGCGGTAAATTTCTATCAACAGCTTCAGAACCTGTCTTTGCCGTTGAGTAACCCGTACATCAAAGGGGCAGCGCAAGGCATTTAGAGAGGACACGCGGAGAAAGGTACACAAGCAAGAGTGAGGAGACCTCTGGCATGGGGAATGTTGAGTGCAATGCAGCAGAGTGTTGGCGGTGAGGGTGCAGGGGGAAGAGTGGTATGGATTGGATTGGCCTTGACATATCTGCTGATGTTGAGAGCGTCAGAGTTGTTTGCGGGAAAAGATGCGAAAATCCACGACGTGTACTACCTGTGCAGGGGGGACGTGGCGCTTTTCGAGGGCAAGAAGCAGCTGGAAGGACCTGAGAGGTTAAAGGAAGATAAGATACTGTAGAAGTCCATATGAGAGGCTCGAAGGGGGACCGAGGGAGGAAAGGAGCGGTGATGGTCAGGGAGAGGGGGAGGGCGAATGAAGCGGCGGAATTAATGCTGGAA